ACCTTAATGATTCTATGATTCTAAAAAGGCTACAAGTCTTCAATTTGGAGATCAGAAATTTGAAAGGGCATATAACCAAGGTTTACAAAATCAGGAGGACGACTGAAAAAATGAATGACCACTAAAACCCACATGTTATAACTATGGAGCACTCAATGGAAGTGATAGGAAAAAGGTTTAAGGCAGATAAAGTAAAGAACATCTTTACATATAAGATAGTGGACTTCTGGAACTTGCTGCCCCAGGGAGTTGTTGGAAGCAGATAATATCAGCAGGCTCAAGAACAGATTAGACAAACTCACAGACAACAGGTCCATAAATAAAAACTAGGCATGGAGGTACTCCTGTAACATTCCTATTGTAACAGTTCTGGATGCTGGCAACAAATGGCAAAAGATGGGCAGGATTGTATCAGGATCCTGAAAAACATTTCCTGTTGCCACTGAAGACAGACATAGACTACATGGACCACCAATCTAACGCCATGCTTGAGATAAAGAACTGAGATTACTGAGAACCTCCCAGACAAGAAATTCAAGAGGACTTGAAGAACATTCAGAAAGGCATCTACTGATTACAAGGACTCAAAAAAAAAAAAAACAAACCAAAGGCACTAAAAGTAATCTTCTGACTTAAGAGCAGTATCGGTAATATAGTTAATGGAGTCTAGCACACAACTCATTCTGCAGTAAAAATCTAAAATAGGTCAGATGAGTCAAGCTGGTATGACTATTTCTCGCCACTGACTACAGAGAAACTGAGAAGCATTTGCCTAGCTGACAGTACAGATAAAGTAAGGCAGAATCAATCCCACCTAAGCAAACAGAGATACAGTGAATGATATTGGAAAAAGAGGCAAGATGGTTCCCCAGGGACACAGCCAGAGACACTGTTATGAAAACGAAGAACAAACGTGTGGAAAAAGAAAAGGGAAAAAAGAGAAAGATGAAGAAACACGAAAAAGTGTCGTGATCAGGAAGAGTTTTGTAAACAGCTGGAGTCAAAAGAACTAACACATTAGAATCTCAGGCTTCCCTTCCCTCAAAAATGAGCTAATTCCTGGAGAAAAAGCTTTCATTTTTCTAGTAAATTCTTCAAGGTCTAAGTACAAAGAAACTCAAGAGTGATGACCACTAGGGGGATATGTCAACCATGGAGCACATCTGATTTCAAAATTTAGGGTGACGTCTACAAATGAAGCTGAAGATTCCTGAACTTACTTCATGATTCATAAAAGATCAACACTGCTAAAAAGCTACACACTTAAAACTATAGGAGTGAACAACAGACACTACACACATGTAAAACATTCTAATCTGTGCTAAAGACTGAAGTTTTTACTGTTCTCCATGCAGTCATTACAGATTACTGTTTTAATAATTACTAGTGTGAAGCTATTTCAAGAATATCTGAGGCCAGTAACAGGTTAAAATGAACTCTGTTGAAAATCAAAGCTAAACCCCATTTTAAATAAAATTTACCAGAATCTATATTCTATCCTAGTTTTGCTTTTTGCAATGTTTCGTTTACTTTTTTTTTTGCTAGAAAATGTCATATTGTCTATAGACAGAAAGGTTAGCAAAGGGTTCAAACAACTTCATGTTGCCGAGATTCAACCCTAATCAATACAAAATTAAGTCTGAAATTACAATTATGGGATAAAATCAAGAAAGCCAATTATATGGCTAAATGACCAGAGTGTTGCAGAAGACCTGACCTCCTCCTTATATTGTGACCTCTCCAACCATTTCAGTTGTCTCTTCCTCTTACATTTCTCATGCTATTCCAAATAAAATAAAGCCAGTCACCAAAAAACTAAAACCAACAGAAACTTTCTCCACACAGTCCCATCCAAGTCAGAAGTTTATAAGATGATGAAATAAAATACAGTCCACTGGAGATAATGCCTCTTGAAACAGTGGACTTTCAGGTGTAGGATGTTGTATTTGCACAGCCAGCTTTCCAAGCAGCATGACATCCTGACAGAGAGCAAAAACTCAGAGGAAAAGAAACCCCAAAATAAAAAAACAAACCACACCACTAAAGCTCAAAGAGTAGTAATACAGTGATGTGACTGTTGTTTTGTTGCCTACTATCAATATTTGAGAATTGCCTAGTCCTCACAAATTAAATCACAGTGACAGGAAAAACATAAGCAAACTGGAAATTTTATCACGAAGCATTCACCCTCCTCTAATGTAAAACTGGTAGCAACCACACACAGACTTATGTTGATGAGATACTTGCATTTAGAGCAGCTTCTCCACATTTCTCAATTGCAGCTAGACCCTGATTATGAATGTGGGTTTCCAAAAGTTTTTTCAGCTCTCCAAGGCCATCCTGGATTCGAGATACAAGGTTATACATGCGTCCCAAGTCTGGAAAAAAAAAGGAAAGCCAACATTTGTACTAGCTATGACTCCAATTTCTCATTTACAAGTTGCCAATAGGAGTTAAACATCCATCATCAACAAAAACATATGTGCAATTGCTCCTGTAAAAAGCCAGAAAAAACTACAGCAAAAAATTATACAGTATAGCAAATATTTGCACTAACCCGGAAAGCTAAGACTAGTTAAAGAGAAAACAACCTGTTAAATATTAAGACCTTCACAATGCTACATAAATCTCAAGAAGAAAAAAACCAACTTAAATTATAGAAATATATTTACTTCTAAATTTACGAAAACTAGAAATCAAAGAGGTGCAATGATTTAAAAATGGAGTTAAAACCCTTTTATTTAGATGAAGTTTTGAAGTGTTACCATGAATTAGGACTGTCATTAGTGTTACGCTGGCCGTGCTAAGAGTACAACGTTCTCCAGCTGACCACTGTCCTTTAGATCTTATTCTGAACAGGACAGTTCTCAGAGATCTAACACCACCTGTAGCCTTTTGTATATTAACACTTCTCCTTGGGGCAGCATCAGTGGTAATGGTTGGAAATTTAAGGCAAAATGTTATGTATTGATATCACCTTGGCAGATAAACTGAAACATTATAAACCAAATTTCCTCCAATAAAGCACTGTCAATAAAGCCATCTCTTAAAAAAATATTTAAGTAACTGACTACCAGTAGAAATAACTGTATCTCAAGGAAAGAAAAGGTTCTGAAAAGCATTACCATGGAACAAAACTAATAAAGGTAAAAATAAATTGGACATCATTTCACATATGTTAAAGCCTCATATTAAAATCTCACCAGCTTTCAGCCAAGACTTTCCAAATTCAGTTAGTAATTTTGGAAAGTCTAATATCGAAGAGGGTTTTGTTTTTATTATTCATTTTCAACACGTCAGATGCTTCGTACCTTAAGTGCAGAACTCTTTTTTTTTTCTTTTTAAAGAAAAAAAAAAAAGCAAACTTTAATATGGCCATAAACCAGTTACACAAACCCACTAGTTACCTTTTGTAATCTTGCCCTCACTGAACAGGCACTCAAGTGAAAAAGTAAACAACCAAATTAGTTACTGTAAACTAATGAGGATATTTCACCTTGTTGAATCCATCCTAAGGTTGTCAGCTCCACCTAGCACTTCTAAAGTGGAAGGACTTCTCTGAAGGGCTTATGAGCAATTTATTACCACCTGAGGATTATTAGATTAAATAAAACAGAACAATCAAGCAGCTGTATCACTACCTAACTCTGAAACACAACACGCAGAACTTGATGCTTTTAATACTGAAGCGGTGACACCTCTATTCACACCCATTGCTGTATAATGCTTTCCATTCCTTAGAACTTCGGCAAGCTTAAACTTTTGGATTTGAAAAGCAAACATTTTTTCTCTCTGAAAATCGCATTTGCAACCTGATGTTAAACTTTTGTAACAACGTAAGAATGCTGTTCTTTTACCTATAGAATTTTAGAAAAAAGGTAGGAAAATAATGCCATGCATAGATATTATAAGCTGCTGCTAGACCTACCCACAAATAAGGGTTCACGGGTTGGTCTGCAGGATGTCTGGTGAAATACGGAAGAGATGCTACAAAGCCTCAAGGAAGATTTACATAGTAACTCCACCTAAATCATTACAGCCTGCTCCCAATAAACATAATTATTTCCTTCCCAATAAACGTAATTATTTCCTATAGGTATCATACCGATGTGAATAGGTAACACATGACAAGTGTGCCCCACAACCTTTATAACCAGTTGCACAATGCGATTAAAAAGTTACAGAGCACCAACAGGAGTGGCCTGTAATACGATACGCTTAACATACTTCACATGGGAGGACCTCAAAACCAGTGTACTTTCAAGAGCAAAGCAAGAAAGATTTTAAGCAAGAGCAAGATTTTATTATAAGTTTAGCATAGTCTACAATAGGCTATTTTAGTACATTACAAATTTGAGAGTGAACCGATTATAGTGATTAAAGAATGAATTCTCAAAGAATCTTTCACAATAAATGTTTCTCATCTTGAGAATTCATGAAACTTAAAAAGGGCCAGGGAATTACTGTAATTTGCACAAGTGAAGCCCAATAAGAGAAAAGAAAGTATTTTGAGAAAGAAGAAAAGAAAAAAAAAATCAGGCATTTTAAAATGCCTAATTTATCTTAGAAATAACACAAATGAAAGTAAAACCAAAGACATATAACAAGACAGTGCCCAAGACACAAGGTACTTTTTTTTCCTTTTTTACCCCGACAAACTTATGGAATTGCATCACTATGGTAAGTGACTATAGTAAAGGCTCACATAACCCATGAGCTTGATAAAGTAAGGGGGAAAAAGAAAAGCCTGGGAAGGCCTCCTGAATCCAGAAAAATTTTCTTGATTGTGCTATTGCTATTTCTATTGCCAGAAGACATTTATAAAGTCATTTTACTAGTCAACACCCATCTGTATCAAAGTCTCTTCCAGTTACAGAGTAAATACATTTATTTACAAACCATAAACATCTAACTCTTAAATACTAGTACAGGATAAAAATCTTCTATTTACATTTGAAACAGGTAACTTCTGACCTACTAATCATGCTGAATTGCCCTTTTCTATTTCTATAGTTATCAATATGATGATTACAGTAATTATTCATAGTTGCTCTTTAAAGCTGATATATAAAGAGACAGAGTCATAGCTGCAATTCACAACTCTTAAACAGTATCATCAATAGTAACTTAATGATAGTATCTCTTCAACTCTGTCACTTTCTTAAAACCAGTATTTCAGCTATAGATCCTCACCTTGATTTTCTATATAGATTTAATTAATTCCAACTGGAAAAATCAGAAACACCATTCATGCTTATCATCTGCACGATGTACAGGAATTATTTGGCCCTAGTTCTGACTGTTATTTTGTGCTAAGCATTAATTCCTGAAGAAATTCATAAAAACCAATACAATTGACAATTGCTTAAAGGTACCTAAACTCTTCGATAATATTTACTTGTTTTAGAGGAACCACTGAAGAAGCCTTTATTCTATGTGTTCTCTACAAAGGTATAAACTGAAGTGGCACTTAAGACTCATTTTCACAGCTAAAATTATCTCATCAATTAATAATTTTCACCCTTTCCTTGTGCTCTATAGGCAGTTTTATATATTTTATATATTATATTTTAGAAGCTCCTGCTTCTATTCCTCCTTTAACATTTCTTATACATACTTGTAGACAACTTGGATTTTAAAATTCTCACTGCTGACTCAGAAAGATCCACGGATTAAACTGAAACAGCTGGTAAGACTAGTGGTCTGTTTTTCGTCTCACATGTCTCTCATGCAAGCTTCAGCTCCTGCTGGAAGGATAGCCTAAGTGCTCTTGAAGCTCTTCCAGCCATATTAAGACAAATCAAAATTAGTGCTGTTTTGCCTTAATATTTGGGATTGGAATAGGCTTCTTGAGGCAATATCCTCTCCCATCCCAATTTAATCAAAAGCTGCTTGTCAATCAGTTTAGTGTCTATCTTCTCTCTTAATCTAATTCCTGAACAAATCACATTTAGCCATCACCAGAATTTACATTATTCACAAATCATCAGGGAGGAGCTCTAAGCCTAAACCCAACATTTGAATCTCCTTACCTTCATTTTTGTCAGCATCCAACAAATTCTGAAACTCTGTATGAAATATCTCCAGGTGTTTTTCAATAAGTACTTGCTCACATTTTCGTGCTAACTCATCTTGTGTGCTCTCATGGAGATATACCTGAACTCTACGCTGCTCCTCAAGAAGGCGAGCTTCAGCCTACAAAACAGAGAGATAAACATGAAACCAGTATGGAAGGCAGAACAGAAATCTAAGAGCAGAAAACAGATAACTATTTAGTAAATCAATCTAGAAAACAAGCAAACAAAAACAAATCAAACCTCTCACTAATGCGGTGTTATGGTCCACATACTTAAGCAGTTATTTTTCTGGGAATCATAATGCAACCCCTCTTCCCATACTATATATGTATGGAATCAATGTTTATGTTGATGATAATATTATATGCTGTTTGAATGGCGGGGGGGGAGAATCACAGCAAGATTGTTTTCCCGTTGCTTCTGAATAAGAAGTTTACAGATGAAAATCAGCTGTCAGAAAAAGAGAAAGCTGCTGACATGAGATGCTGGCAGTTTTGGCATCAGCAAGCTCTCCAGCTACAGAGGTAGTTTTGTTTAAACCAAACATGAATATATTTCATGCCTCCACAAAACTAAAAGGCAGAAAACTACAATTTAACAGTATGGCCATGACAAATTTATTTGAATGTTCTCATCTACACTCTTACACAGAAAAGCTTCCCAATAATCTACAATCATTTAAATTATACTAGCATTTAATTTGGCATATGAAATGCTACATATGCATATCGTCCTGGCAAAATTCTAAATGTCACTCAAGGAACAGTACTTATGCCAAAATGTAAAACCGAAGTTGTTTATATAACAATTACCTTTACTTTCTTTGCAAAAGTGTTAAAGATTTGCTTTACAAGCCATCTGTAATTGCAGCACACTATTAGGGATAAAGTGCATACGTCCCCTTATCAGTCCAAATTATTTAAATTAATGTCACAAAGAGAAGGAAATTAAATTAATGCAATTTCCTAGTATTTTAGAATATTGACTAAGCATGAAAGATCTTATTATGGACAACAACAACAAAAAAAAGAACAATTTCACTGCAAGTACACTGCATCATACACAGACGGCTTTAAATAACCTCTGCCACTGTTAGCTTCACTCATTTCTGTAATAATTTTGCACTTAGTTCTTGTTAAATGATCCTGGATTAGTGTTACCTAGAGTTAAACCAGTACAGGTCAAAATATGAGAAAATCAACAGTTTGGGAAGGGATATAAGCTTATGCTTCAGAGTTAACTTGCCAGCTTCTTACCAGTAAGGAATAACAATCGACTTCCTTAACAGCAGCAAATAGCAGCAAATTATTGAATCTTTCTGATGAACGTTGGAAACTGGAATCAGACTAGTAGGACTACTTATCTTATGTTTAACCACTTCTGTATTTCTGTAGTTCAGGAAATTCTGCCACTTCTAATGCTGCTTCTTAAAATATCCTTAGACCTCCACCTTTAATGTTAACAGTCAACTCTCACTTTGAGCTCCTTTATGAAAATAAAGATTCGCTCTGACTCCGAATTTGCTTATACTCTCTCACTTCTTCTGTTCTTATAATTCCATTTTCCTTTTAAAGTCACATTTCAGAAACAAGGGAAAAATAATTAGTTCACACAACGGTATCTTTGGCTGTTTTAACTGTAAAGATCAAAAGTTCAGTTTGAGACTTTATTTCAAGGGACAGTGTTAAGAAATACTGACTTTATTCCCTACAGCATATCAGGCCATGCCAGCTTTACTCATGAGTTCTGGCCTGAGAAGAAAAATTCACAATCCTTCTAAACTCAGTAAGTCTGCCTGTATAACTACATACACATATCCTAATTCTAATTAAGATTTCATTGAGTATTCTACAAGGAACAACCAGAATTCTACTATATCATGGTAACACTCTGATGCTACGCTGATGTGCACTAAAGTACTTCTAACAGGTTTCTTTTTATTATTATTTTGCAGTGCTATTTATCCCCAATTAGAACACAATGCACAGTGCTTCAGTCAGAAAGTCAAGTAAGCGTACTAATAGCAGATCACTTCATTCGCAGTTCATACTTCCAACAGATGACTTTTAAGACCTCACCGCTAATATGCCGTGTGACTGCTGGACAACTTGCAGCTTTTAACACCAGTCTCATTTAAGATGCTTCATAACAGAAGAGAACCCTAATTCTAGCAATCCCTGAGTAATAATTATGGGAGTACTGTTCTGTTCCAGGCTTTCAAGTGGCATGCAAGATTACAATATGCAAACCGAAAAAAATAATTAAGACGTTTACAAAACTGCCTTGTCATGTTTAAGTGAAAAATGTTAAGAATTCCTTATGCACAATGAAGTAAAATAAAACTGAAGGACAAACCTATCTGAATTTTAAATTAATCGTTCTGAAAACCTGCACAACCTCTCGTCTGTATGCTCTGCTGGAGAGATCGAGAGAAATCAGACAATTTGTTCCAGTGAACTAGCTTTTAGCTTCAATTCATAAGTTTCCCCTTTCCGTTAGGTCACATTCCTTAGTTTGTATCATTTTGCAAGCTCTGATCATATTTACTGTAGAGTCTAATACACATCTTTTTCAGTTTCATCAGTTAAATCCCAGGAAATGAGTAATGAAAACAGAGTTTCTTGTTCAGTTTGATTTCAGTGTATGCACATTATCTGTAAGGAGATGCCAGGACAGCCCAAATAGCTTGTATACATCTCTAGTATATGAATTTGAGCAGAGACTTAAGGCTACACACTTTCTTGCTGAAGATTTCCCCTGCCTTTTGCTAGCTTTATATGTGTTTTCAGCTTCAACATCAGCTTCAAGCAAAGTGAGTTGCTCTTTTGTGGATTTTTGAAGTCTTGAAGATTGTTTGGGGAACTAAAAAGTTCTTTCTACTTGCCAAGTTCTTTCTACTTTCTACTAATCTCTAGTTCTTGAAATAGCAATGACCTTCAGACAGCTTTTTACTGTCCTGTAACAAGGAAGCCTGGATGAGCCAGTCATTCACGTTATGAATGACTGAAATTCCCTTACTCTGTTTTTATATATGTTTTAGGATGAAAGTAAAGACAAGAAATTGGAAGGGAAGTAGCAAAAATCATTAATTCAACAACAACAGAAAAGTAAATATAGGTAGGTCTGGGAACTACTGGGCAACTATCCCAACGCACTAAAAGCAGGATTCGTCTTACTGTGTTATTTCTAGGACTTCCCCCCTCGCCCCCCCTTTTTTTGGGCAAATCATTGACTTTAATGCCAAGACTCAGACAGGATGTGTTCTGTTGCAAAAAGTTACACAAAAGAAACACAAAGATACTGCAGGGAGGGGTGTGTATCTGCATATTACATACTCAGAAAGCTCTCTTTTTTTAATTAAACTGAAAGGGAAAAACCAAGCAGCAATTCAGAAAGTGAGGAAACATGCTGAGAAAAATACATAAAGCAGCACTTGTCCAAGATGGAAGATGACCTATCTATTTCACATTCAGTAAGACTGACCCAATAACCAGGTTAGAAAACGTCAATGTTTATCCAGCTTGCTCTTAATTGCCCTGTCTGGGATGCCCCAAACCAGAGACTATCTAAGGATTTTAATCTGGCCTCCGTTGATCAGAAGTATTGTGTAGGGTTCATCACATTAAAATATTCTGAGAGAATGAAAGCTAATTAATGATCTACTTCCTTGGCCAGCTTGCTCAGGAAGAGATTTCAATAAATGTGCCAACACACAGTTCCTTGTATAGGAACAGTAAACTTGTAGGTCTAAAGTAGAATAACTATTTGGTGTCTTGAAGTCTAACAAAATCTGAATTTATTTTAAACATTCTCTTCTGTTTTGCCCATTAAGAAAGTTTCACACTTTCACTGTACTTACTGAAGTACACTAAGCAGACAAACTTCAGACCAGATAAACACAGAAGTAAATGACCACAGGTAAAAAGAGCTAACTGTTTCTGTAAAATAATCAGCATTCTAAGAAACTGATAATAAAAGCCAAGAATTTATATTACTTAACCTCTAAAAAATATCTGTATCCAGAAAATAATCACAAAGCTTATTAAATAACTTACCTTCTTCATGTACTCTGTGACTGGGTTCTGTTGCAAGAATTCAGTACTTTCTCGTGTATAAAATCTCTCTGTGTCAGCAAGAAACTGAGATTCAAAGGATTCTTTATAGACAGTTAGTGTAGGTCCTTTTGCAAATGCATCATCTTCATTCAGCCCCAGCTCCACTACAAAAAAAAAAAGAGCAAGCAATGACAAAATTGTCTTTTATGAAGTGGTCTCTTGCAAATAAACAGGTACCCTCCTTCTAACTTACATAAAGTAATCAATTGGGATAGTATCAGCACCACTTTTTCAAACTTTTAAAAGTATACATTTATTTTGCATTTAAAAGATAAGCAGCACAAGACATTACTCATGTAAACTGCACTTTTTGATACATTACTAAATGGATGATAGGATTTGGAAAACTTCACTATCTCAAAAGCTAGTTCAAATTTCCCTTCCATTTCCCAAATTTCCCTTCCGTTCCTCTTAGAGTTCCAGATCATATGCATATATTTTTTTAGTTAATGAAACTGGTCATTAATCTGCATGGCAAAACTCTCAGTTTCATGCAAATGGAAAAAAACAATCCCACTCCACTTTGTGAACTACTATGCTTCCCCCCTTCCAGATTTAGCGCCTAAATAACTGATTCATAAACAATGAACACTCTTGTCTATCAGTTGTGCTTTCAAGCTTTACAACATGGTATAATCAGCTGAAATTGTGTCAAGTGTCTCTACAAACTTGAAGTTAAACAATATATAACTGCATTTATTTTACTGTAAAAATCCAAGGAGGTGGAATGCTACTTCTGGGCTCTGATAGGGGATATATATTTATTTATTTTTAAGAGAGTAATAAAACCTTAAAGAAATCTCATTTACCATAAGATTGTACAACTCCACTGATCAGCCTTGTATTGATAGTTTCACCATTTCTTTCCTTTTCAATCAATTTCAACACAGCATTTGTCACCTTGGAAAACAGGTATTAAGAGTAAGTCAAGCACAGAGAAAGCAGCTGGTAGGTCAAGCACTGTATTTAATCAGGAGTGTATTCCTATAGTCAAGACAAGTCAAGCCCCTTGAGAACAAAATTTAAGGACACCTGAACATATCAAATTCCTACAGACATCATAGGGTACGCTACACCTTTAAGTTCTACAATGTAATTACAGTCCAATTAGTGGTGAGCTGCAAAAGGGTATGAAAGTGCAAATGTTTTTTTTTTTTTTTTTTTTTACATTTCAAAAAGCACCTTCTAAACCAAACTTCTGTTTGTTTTGTACTTGAAATACAAGAAAACTTTGCAGTAAGAGCTGAACTAACCACCTGTACTTTATACAAAGAAAGCTATCGGCTTATGCTGATAAATAATGTGTTGCAACTACTGTTTCTCTAAACTGAAATCTAGCTAATATTTTCATAATACAATACAGTCTTTTCATCATGAAGTACTGGTAAATAAGAATGAAATTAACATACATAAATATAGTATTTTGTTGTGATGGAATGTCTCGTTTTATACTGTGCTGATTCACTAATTAAAAATATTTGGTTGACCTGAATCTCCCAGGCATCAGTGTAAATTTAAAGATTCACAGTAACATTAGAAGAGACCAAAATCCCAGGCCTGTCACTGTCTGTTCTCACACAATCTTGACTCTCAAACCGTAAGGCATGACTGTCAGCCTGCACTCCTGCCTGGCTTGGAAACAGCTGAAGCTGTTACTTCATTTAAGACTAGCCAAGGGTCCTCTCAGCAAAGAGGTTAACAGAACAGTCTTGGTATCAAGGTTCAACCACATACACACAAAAAGGCCCATTCCCCAAAAATATTTATCTTTTTAACATCACGAAGGAGAAGCAGAAGGCTCCCCCCAGGAACAGTTACTAACAACATATAAAATTAACCCTATAAAATAACACTACCGTTATAACATATATATACATACCTGCTTATTTAATGGCCTGAATAAGCAGTCTCTCCAGGTCACCAAGGCAAGCTAGACACAAAGGAAGAGAGATGAAAGATGGAATAAAGAAAGTATTTTTATATATACACACATATACATGCAGGATAACTCCGTAAGTAAAGCTCATCTAGTATGCTAAATAATCAGAATTTTTAAAATTATTATATTTTGACACACACATTTCTCATGCAACAAGACTTTCACAATAAAATTACCATTTGCTTTATTACTAACTCTACCTAAGATGTCCCCTTTTCTGACAGTGATCCACTGCCAACTCTGAAAACTAACAAACCCTTCAAATTACTTTGACAACATACAGCTTTTTTTGTTGGTGATTTTCAGGCTGACACAGTCCATTAGCATTAGGCTGGTGAAGTTAAGAGGGAGGAAATTAAGGATACCAACTGTTTTTCTACCATATGCAAAGTTATTTTAGTGAAGCAGTAAAATAACACATCACTTCCCTAATGCTTCACCAGCAAGGACAATAATTATCCTTTATAAAACAAAAAAAAGTACTTTTAGTTATCTGAGATACAGAACTTCTGCTATGTTCTTTCTTTGTTTATATTACTTTACATTACAAAAAAATTATCAAGATCACATATCAATCTTTCAGAACTGTACCAAAATAACTTATATTATAAACCAAATGTTGACTGAATCTCAGCAGCTTGGATGCTAAAAAATTTGTAGAGATGTATTGAAGTCAACAGAAAAAAATGCCATTTACTTCTTCATTCTATATTTGAAACACTTGACTGAATTCTAAGTCACAAGGCCACACTGATGCACACAAATAACAGTATAAGCAGCAAATATTCAGAAACAGACAACCCTCGACAGTCTAATATTGGTAGTCCCGATACGTTCAAGGCAGATTAAACATCTCAGAGGTTTAGACCCATGGAATTTTTACAAATATACTGGGGTGGGAGTATGGAAAGGGGGGAGATTTCCACTTTACCCACTTCTTCAAAACTTCTATGAACTTCATACAAGTTTCAAGGAGCAATCCGTAGGATGATAATGCAAATGTGACAGATGGAATGGATAAATCACTCGCTTCAAAAAGCTACTTACCGAATAAATTTCATATATTCCTTTACGACCTTCATCACACTCACGACGAACCCAATGTCGATTGAGGTAGGCACATATCCCATTCAATACTTTGCTTGAAAACCTATAATCTTCCCACTGTTGAGTGTAGAATTTCAGCACACTCTCATCCATCAAATCTTCGCCATCCTGAAATAACAAAAGTTTGCCAGTACTGTTAGGTAATTTTAAGGTACAACCAAGATATATAAGGGTGTACAAATTGTGTAATTAATCTACACCATGCAATGCATTTATAGAAAACATAGTGCTAATACATTTACTTCTGCATTAATAAAGCACAAGACCAGTATGAGATTCAGAAATTAGAAGACTGGTAAAAAAATGCACAGCATAGACAAAGCTCCAGAAGAAGCTCCCATCCCTCCTGTGGGAGAGAGCAAGAGGGCACCACATTAGAAACAGACAGCGACACTGATGAGTGTGCTAGGTAAAACACGCCAGTACAATGGTAATGCATTCAACATGACAATCTCCATAAAATATACCACCCACTCCCACTGCTGCTACTTGGGGAGCTAAAACAAGTGAGCGTGGATGGGGTCTTCTCTAGGACCCTGTCAGGTAGTAAATAGAACCCTGTATTCCTGGAAATGGGTACGGCATCATATTTGTTCTTGTTACAGAAAAAAAGAAAATAAAGTTGTAACACATGGAAGTTCAAGTATCTTCCCAAACCGGACCACTACAGCTTAAATGGACAAGGGAATAAAACCAGGAGTGCATTCTGGATAAGACCTCAGACACCTTTATGCAGCTTCATAAATTAATTACGCAGTAGACTTGATAAGACATCAAGAATTCTTTTATTATTGCTCAAAACTAAAATCCCAGAAGTTAAAACCATGGTTCCTTTCCAAAAATAACTAGGACCCATTCTCTTACAAAGCAGCCAAACACCTGCTCTATTAGTAGTTTATTTATTAAATTAAATTAATGGCTACCATCAGGCATTTTCAACATTACAGGCAACCATTTTTTCAGCATACTCATATGCATTACTAATAATTACGGGAAGTCTAGCTATCCTTGTTCAAGATACAGGACAGCTTAAGAAGGCATATAACATTACTGCTATAAAACACAGAAACACCGTTTTGGCTTGAAGAGGAAAGGCAGCTGACAGGTACGCTTAGCAACTGATCTATGCCCGAGGTAAAGCCTACAAAAGTTTCTAATGGCCAACGGAGACAAAAGCAAATTTCAGGATCATTAAATTTACTTCCAGTGGCTGCATACAGCTCTGGTTTTGTTGATACAAGTTTCTCTCAACCCAGCCTATATTACTGCTACAAAATGCCGATTGATCTAATGTCCCATCTTACCTTAAGGAGATTTGTCAAGTAGTTCTTCAGAAATTCTTTTAGCCGTTTGTACAATTCCAAGCCAACAAACTGAGCACCTCCAGGTGTCTGGCCCTTTTTCGATTTAGAAGGAGGTACTCCAGCTCCTCGTGCTTGATTAGACTGGTGTACACTAGTACAGTAGTTATAAACATGACTGACAGGAAAGTTAAGGAATACGTATGTTGCCAGCATGAGACATTAAAAATACAATGAAAAACAATACGTTAATTTCAATAAGCTATTTTTATATCACCATAAATGACAACCATAATACATTACAAGATGCATTAGCCCACATAAAATCAAACCAAAGCTAAGAAAACAAAGTAATTTTCAGCAGAATTATCTGCAGCAGAAATGTGTCAGACTGCCGAGTGCGCTGCAAATACTAACACCAACATTAAATTTACCTAACGCTTACTTACCAAGACCACCAAGAAAACAAAGCAGTGGAATTTGCTGGTAAGATTATTTTCAACGTTTAAATGGAATTTATTTGATGTATTATATTGGCCTTCTACAAATACTTCTACAAAAGCTTTCATTTGAACAGCAAGAAATTTCAACACTAGCCTCAAGCAACATTCAAGTAGTTGAAAACAAAGACAATAATATTGTTGCATTCTTTCAAACACAATCCTTTATAAAAGATTTGGCCATTTAACACTGGCAGACAGGTGGCAATCCTAGAAAGCAGTAATGGTGAGACACACACACACTCAAATGCACACCATAAGATGAGATTCACCGAAACCCAATTTTAGGCTACAAGCACAATCCCAACATTTAAGTATGTGGTAGCAATAATTTTTCCTCTCATACTAATACAGCCTGGAAGACTTGGTGTATTTGTTAACATAACATTTCAAGAAAACATTCTGTTTTCTGATCGAAAACATTCAAATATTCAGAATTTTTCCAAAGTATTAAGTGGAAGTCACATTGCTCAAAACACTTCAAATAAGAAGAAGCTGCACTCCACAAACAAGGATAATAAACTAGCTTGGTAGCACTCAAATTCAACTTGATGAGGACTCAGATCTGACAACAAAAATTACCCTAATGACTCACCTGGCAAAAGATTAGCCAACAGGAACGAAGCTACTGAGCACTCACGCACTCACGATTCTACTGACAGTCCAAGGGCAGGCTTTTGAGTCACATCCCTTCTTAGAGAACATCACATTAAGCAATCCACAAGGCCTAATTTGGTTTTAACTTGTGTTTTAACTAATGGGCCAAGCTTTAACCACTAGACAGGCTTCCTCCACAGTGTGCCACGTATTAGGAAATTAGCATGTTGCTGAGATTTGCCTTTTATCTTTCCCTTCAGAAAGACCAATGCAATGTAATGGAAGACATCACCACAATTAAATACCAAGGAAATTATAAACCCCAAATATATGATGCAGTCATGAACAGACTTGCTTCTAGTATTTAAACAGTAAAGCTCAAGCAGAAAAATCTCTTAAAATATCCAGCTAACTACCCTGCAATTTCTTTAAAAAAAAGCTTCACGGACAACTCATATCCTTAAACTGGGTTTAAGGACCAGAGTATCCTGCATGCCACCAGGAACAAGGCTCACGGTCTTTGTGTCAAACTGAAAGGAAAGCCTGCTCACAGCCTATACTCATGTACTTGTTCAGAAAGTCATCGCATTCTATCCAAAAGAGTAATGCTCTTTGTCTAAGATTAACTCTTTTTGAAAATATACAGTACATATTTATTGCTTACCTATTACCTCATCCAGGTGCCAAATAATTAGATTTCCCATTATATCAACCAGTAATATAAAACCTTCATTTGTGCTTAGCAACTTTTATCAGCCTCTTATCTCTATCAGCCACTTATTTCCTGGACATTAATGATTTCTTCCAGCTCCTAGCTATTTGTTTGTTCAACTTTCCTGGCACTGTCACTACTTTTACCATCTATGCTTCAATTTCAGAACTCCCTGTTCAAGTGAGGAATGCCACAGAGCTTAACAATTCTTCTCTAGATACAAAACTAACTTTCTTTTCACAAACAAGAAAAGCAGGGCTTACCTCACAGTTTAACTTTAAAATATTTAATATAAGGTCCTCTGAATTATGTATGGAAAGTCTCTCCATCACGATACAAGGAATTTAGGGCTGATTCATAAATACCTAGTTGGCAATCTTGCCTCCTTCTTTCCCAAACTCTCCTATCCCAAGTGGCTTTGAGTAAGCCTAAAAATACGAAGATTGTCCAGATTACAGGTAATTCTTACAGTTTTTGGGAATGCTACCTGATGAAAACATTCTTTCTGTTCTTCAGAAAAATAAAAGACCAAGCTTAGAAGACATAAGCTTTTTCCTAACCCCATACATTTTACTATTAAAACCAGGATTCCTTGTGAAGTAAACAAGGAGAGAGAGAGAGACTGAGACCTTTTGTTCATGCCTGACAGTAATCAACTCAGAGCTGGAATAAAAATATACCAGTAATGCCAATATTTGCTTGTTATTCCGGCTTTAGTCTTGCTAGCCAAAGTGCCCAAGACAGCACTTCTGAAATGCTCTAGTTTAGTTGTTCTACGCAAGTCAAACTGAAGTTAGTTTGCCTGTGCAGAAGGCAGTTTGTAAGTGCAAACAACTCTTTGACATACTACACATAAAAGAATGCTCTCTCACACTTTGTTTACAATCTGTGTCCCCATCTGCTAAAGCCAACCACTGACAGAAAGACTGACACAATCAGACTTGCGCTGCTTACAATGAAGTACATGACAGTCCATCTGAGAATCACAAGGAGAACACTATGAAAAGAATTCTTGGTTGCAGAAGGCAAACTAATCCCCTCAACTGCTTCGTACGCTGGAAGCCATATACGGATTCAAACAGCTATTAGGAAACATTTCTGTGGGTGTTTGCACAATTCTGCATAGCAATTCACATACTACAACAAGCAGAGAAGTCAACTCATCAATAGAATAGTTTGCACGGCAGTGAAGCTGTGCTGCTCCCCAAGCTTCTGGCTGCTGAACTTCAGATTTGCCCCAGCAAACAGGAAAACCATCTACAGCAGGAACAGATCAAAATCAATCTCCTCTAACTTCTACGCCTTCCTTACAGTGAAGGAGAAATTACACTTACTTATCTAAATTCAAATTTGAGGTAGAAGACTACAAGGAAGTTTATAAATTTATTCAGCATTGCGCTGTTTAAGATGAAAAAGCTTTTTCAGAACTTCTCTGAAACTCTTCAAAATGGGATACAAGGAGCAGCCAAAGACAAATTAATTTTGCCACCTTTGTCTTCAATATAATTTACACTGCTTTTGACAACCTTGACTCAGTTTCTAAAGCTGGGCAGTGCAAAAAAAAAAAAAACATGGCGTGGCAGCATGGGAATAATGAATTTATGGCCTTGCAGGAGATCACTTCCATGGAAGGAAATGATGCTGACACACAACCCACCTGGAGAGCTTACTTGCCACCTGCTTTTCCAGTAGCATGGGAGTTCACGCAGGCAACCAGTGATTTGGACTGGGGAAGTGACTGCTGCTGCAACTAACCATTGTCCCTGTTCCCAGATCCTTTGCTGAGCAGATCTGAACTTCTGTGTCCACACAGGGAAGTGAAACAGACTCTTTCAGTAGTGGTGCACATACTTTTTGAGCAAGTACGCCATCAAAACACAACCTTGAGCGCGCCATGGTCACCTCTAATCTACCCTCCACCCCAGAAAAGTACCACAATACTCTGTACAGCATTTTTTTCCTCCAGGAACAAGTGCAAACAGAAACTATGTGAGAAAAAACACCAGTTTTGTAATTTGACACACAACAGGAAAACACTCAGATTTTACACTGATGGGTGCAAATTACTCAGTTTCACGTGAGTTCTAATCTTAAATTTTTTATAAAGAAAACAGTTCTGCTGAGGTAATAACTGATTTCCCTTTCAGCAGCACAGCTGGGTCCCCACAGTTTTTCCATTTTGCTATGAAAAATTAACATAACTGGAATAAGTCCGCTTGAGGAACAGATATGTAAAATTAAAAGGAACTGAAAGGGAAGCAGAATTAATACAATGTAGCACAAAACTATAGGGCAGAGAGAAACAACAACAAAGCTTTTGAAACGGAGGAAGAACACAACAACAACATAAGCTGAACAACTTTAAACAGAATTTCTCTTTCATTACTTCTAGTCTTTATTATGAAGATCAATTTGGGCATAAATTTGCTATTTCACAGATCTAAAGCAGTAATTAACCCTATGCTGAGCATTCTGTCACCTCAACAGCTGGCCTACAGGAACAAGTTGAGATTAGTTCCACTTCTGTCAAAAATTTGTATTTTCCTAGATTACACCAAAGGCATGAAAGAACAATATATAGAAAGTTACTGAAAATACTGATAGGAAAATTGCTAGGACAGACTATGGAAGTTTTGTATTTTTGTAAAACCACTTCTAATACAAGCAATACAGCTTACTACACTTACTAGAGAACAGCTTTACATAATTTCTTCAAAATTACTAAAGCCATTTCAACTCCTGTGTGTCCAGAAGATTAGGTTGTGCAAACCTCACAAAACCACCTCATGCATAAGTAAACCTGCTAAGGGAAGTGACTTTAACGTTTTATACGCCAAACAGATGAACGAATTTTGCACAAGTTTTTGAAATTATGAGGTTGCCAAAAATCAATCACTTTTCAGAACAAGTGCTTTAAACACCGACTTCAGCTTTGTGAGGAGCAGCAGTAAAACAAAAAAAAAACCCCAAAACCCAGAAACCTTCATTCTTTTCAGGGAGGTATCAGCAAGAGTCTATTTTAAGTATGTTCAGTTTGTCATCCAGGAAGGGTTACTCCCACAAAGCAGTTAAAAAACAAACAAACAAAAAATCAAGACCCTGCCCCCAACACATTCTCCATTTGTATTTCAACACACTTTAACCTAAGATCAATTACACATTTAAGTCTTTAGATTAGATACAGTTGCACTGTTAAACCATCCCCATTTTAGCCAGGGAAGGACTGAGGCAGAGACTGAAGGAGGTATTACAGCATCAGCCACGCAGCTGCTATGAAAATCCTGAGCTCAGACACGTTTCTGCAAGTCTGAGATCGGAGAAACTTCCAGCAAAAGCCATTTGAAGACTAATAGATAACTTCTTGTTTCC